ACGGCAATTTGGTTTGCAAATCTCAAGGGCTCCAAGTCTGATTATTCTATAATCTAGTCATGGGCCATTTTAATATTATTTAATGTATTTAAATATATTTTAAAATTTCAATGCAGAAGGATGTTATGGACAGGAAAGGCTTTACATGGTATTATCCCACTAAATGGATGTGAGGGAGACTCAGGTTTAATTCCAAATTTTTCCATTCATAAGCTATAGAATGCCTAGATTTTTATCTCAAGCTCAGGCTTGCATACCTAACTCCTTAACTCTGTATCTCTAGGCATCATTTGATATGATGTAGGCATCATATCAAAACTTGGATATAGTTCCAAGTTTTCAGACAGGGTTTGGCGTTTTGCTTCTCAGTATCAAAACATCTTCTTTTGTAGTATTTGACTATGTGGAGATGGAGAAGATTTTTTTCTTTTAAGTTCACCTTTTCCTCACAGGCTCTATGGAGTTCCAACCTTCCATGCTGGTTGGACTTTTAACTTTGGTTCCCACTGCAAAGCTGAAGTTTGGGGCTAGGGACATTTGCCAGGGTATGGGACAGGCAGTCACCCACGCCCACATTCCATGCACCTCCTGGGCCAGGCTGGACCAGTTCCGGCCCCAGGGTGAACTTGAAAATCTCACCACAGGCACCTTACAGAGGTGGGCGTGGGGAGACTACTCTTGCTCACTTGAGGCAGAAGCGGTTCATGGGCTCCTGGGAGGATTTAGAATTTTCTACACAACAAAATCCTTCCTTCGTCATCTTCAGGCCAACGGAGACACTTGGCAGTTAAAGAAACTTGACTGTGTTTTTATTTTTATATTTATTTTTTGTTTTTCATTTTAAACAAGAAGTTTATTTAAACAACCCCATGCTTGGCGTCCAGGGAGAACTCTCCAGGATGTTTTTAGAGTCTTTCATCCCTACTTAAAGACAGATTGCCCTACATGTTGACAGCTAGTATAAAGAAGTTATAAAATGTACTTGGATTTAAATGATAACTGAAAAAGGCCGGGCGCGGTAGCTCATGCCTGTAATCCCAGCACTTTGGGAGACCGAGGCGGGTGGATCACGAGGTCAGGAGATCGAGACCATCCTGGCTAACACGGTGAAACCCCATCTTTACTAAAATTACAAAAAAATTAGCCGGGTGTGGTGGCAGGCGCCTGTAGTCCCAGCTACTCAGGAGGGTGAGGCAGGAGAATGGTGTGAACCCGAGAGGTTGAGGTTGCAGTGAGCCGAGATTGCACCACTGCACTCCAGCCTGGGTGACAGAGCGAGACTCCATCTCAAAAATAAAATAAAATTAGAATTAAAAAAAATAAGTGAAAAAGATTAAAATTCTCCATCCTATCAATGTATTTAATAATGTTTCTGTTCTTTTTTTGTGTTTTTGGTAAAACAGAGCAAAATGCCAGGCACAGTGGCTCATGCCTGTAATCCCAGCACTTTGAGAGGCTGAGGTGGGCGGATCATGCGGTTAGGAATTCAAGACCAGCCTGGCCAACATGGTGAAACCCCATCTCCACTAAAAATACAAAAATTAGCCAGGCATGGTGGCAGGTGCCTGTAATCCCAGCTACTCAGGAGGCTGAGGCAGGAGAATCGCTTGAAACCAGAAGGTGGGGGTTGCAGTGAGCCAAGATTGCGCCATTGTGCTCCAGCCTGGGTGAAAGAGTGAAACTCCATCTCAAAAAAAAAAAACCAAAAAACAAAAAACTCCAGAGCAAAATAACTTACTAAAATACAAATATGAGAGCTGAGTAAGTTAGCTTACATGGACAAGTGCTTTAGGAAAAAATACTTAAAAGCGCGTCCTTTAATTCTCTGGTTTCCTGCTTTTACTTACATTTTGGCCCAGTAATTTTTTGGTCTCTTGTCAGTCAGCCCCTCAATCGTTTGAATAAAGATTTTAAAAAATTATCTAGCATTCTAAATTGTTTTAAGTAACAGGGTTGATCACAAATAACCTGAAAGCTTGCTCCCTCATTTCCTTTTTAGGTTTTATTTAAGTTTACCTTATTAGTGAGGCCTTCCTTATCCACACTTCATTTTTAGAATCTCCTATACCTCTCCTTACCCTCCTTTGTCTTATTTTTTTCACAGCCATTATCATCTGTGTATCAACTGTATGTTTACTTATTTTCCATCTCATCTGCACTAGAATATAAGTTCCATGAAGAAAGGGGCTGTTTCATTCACATTTCCAAAAACAGTGCCTGGCAGACAATAAACAGTATTCGCTGAATCAATGAAGAACAGCTCTCCACTAAGCTTCAGCCCAAAGTATCCAACTGTCAACTTGAAATCAAACAGGTTTTTCACTCTTAATGTAGACAAAATAAAACTTTTGACTTTCTGTTCACCCTACCACCACCCCAGCTTCCCTTTTCCTCATTTCAGTAAATAGTACCACATTCTTTCAGTTATTAATATCAGAAACTTGAGTCATTTGTAGTTCTTCCCTTTCCCTCAAAACATAGATCCAATCCATCAGCAAGGGCTACAGGTCAAACCTCTAAAATACAGCTCAAATCCATCCTCATCTCTCCATCTCCATGGCCACTCCTTATGGCAACTGGAATATTCTTCTGAAGTTTTGCATCCCATCATATTGCTCCCCTGCTTCTTGGTGCACTTAAATGCCTTACCATCCATGTCTTCCAAAACCCCGTGTAATGCTGCCTCTTCCTAGCTCTCCAGCCTTATCTCTTTACTGCCCCCCTTGCCCATTAGACTCCAGCCATATTCGTTCTATTCCATTCTTTAAATAAGCCAAAATCTTTCCTGAGTCTTCCAGATGCTATTCCTCTATCCTTAATGCTCTTTATTCTGATCTAGGGTGGCTATCTCATCCTTTAAGTCTTAGCTCAAATATCACTCCATTAGGGAGGACTCACCTCACCACTGTACTTAAGTAGGTGGTCCTCTGATCATAATCATTCTGTATCACTTCCCTTTATATATCCTTCATTGCATCATTGCAATTTGAATTATATACTCATCGGTTTGGGGAATTCTTGAACAGGAGAGATTTTCTGTACTTCTAGTGAGAGTGAATTTCTGCTTGGTTACTGGCACAGGATCCTGGGCCCACAAGAGTTTCTGCCTTTCTCAAGGGCAAAAGATTTTTGCTTTTACATCTCCTTCAAGAGCAGTGGATCTCTGCCTGGGCCATAAGGGCAGGAAGGTTTGCCATCTCTCCCCCAGTAGCTTTGCTTTGTACAAGAGAAAGGTCTGAGGAAGCGGGCAGTGTTTCACGCCTGTCAGCCCAGCATTTCATGCATGCCTGTGTCACTGAGGGGTCTCTTCTCACCAGTCTCTTGCCCCAGTCTTTCTCATCAGCATGCAGTGGAGGCTTGTGGAAAGTGATTGTGAACCTCTGTCATGTCAGGGGACCTATTTTAAACTGATATCGATTACACAGTTGGCCTTTAAAGAATTCCTTAACATTTAATGATTTCTGTCAGTAGACAATTCTCCACGGGTCTCTCACATTTCTGCATGATTGCATGGAAAGGTACTGCCTGCCTTTTTTCTGGACTACCTTTTCAAGGATATTTATATAAAGAACAGCCTGGAAAGACCGACAGAGATACCATCTCTCCAGACAGTATCTCCCTCTAGAAGAAGAAGAAGTTTGATTACTGTCCAGTATAATAAAGACCTATTCCTCCAGAGCAAAGGGCAAGCATGCTAAATATCCATTATAACATATTTGGTTCCCTAAACTCAGGGTTCCTTCTGTTATGCAATCCACTGTGTGTGCAGGTATCACCTGGGCCTCTTCTGATAACAACACTGTGGGGATGCTGACACTGACTAATGCTACTGGTGTAATAAAGTCATTTGTTTCCGATTCAGGAATCTGAGGCAAACTAACTTGCAAGGAGTGTAAGCACACAGACTCTTCTAAATTCTTCATAATTTATTCTCACTTGCTTTAATGGCAGCCTCCTATTCTCTGATGAAGGCAAAACAGTTCTTATATCCTGTTTCTCTCTGAAGGGGGCTTGTCACTCTTTGAAAACCAGTTCCTTTGGCTACTTTCTCTGATGGATATAAGAAAATTTATCATTTTTTGTTGTTAGGATAGGAGTAACATTCTCTTGCAGCTTTCTACATCTTAGGTGGAAGTGAAAATCCCAAAGTGTATCTATTTGATTACTTTTTATTACTGAAATAGACACTGATTTGCAAACTCTTGTTGTTCACCTTACACATATTTAGTTTTTAAAGAAGCATAGGCATAAGTGAGGAACTCTAGGAATTTTGAAAAACAGCTCATGAAATATTTCATCACAAGGGCTGGAAACAATGGACCAGGATATTCACATTCTAGCACAGGTGAGGCAGGAGAGGGTGAAATAATATGACTCATGAGAGATGAAATGTTATACAAAATGTATATATGCACTGGCAACCAACCCTACTAGAGGACCAGGAGAACATACAGAAAAGCTGTAACCACTCAGAGTAAAGAGAGGGCTTTTGGAGCTCTCAAAAATGGGTAAGAGGTAGCAGAAAGATCTGAAAAGGATACAGAGGATGGTAGAACAGCAAGCAGTGTCTTGAGGATTCATGGGTTTTCTATTTCTTCATTGTTTTTCCTCCTCTGCATTCATTCTCTTTTTCTGGTAAACAGAATTTGGATTTCTTTTGTGAGATTTACCCCTTCTGCATTTGAAAGTACTGTTAGGACCGTCAATTAAAGTGACTAGTGGTCCCCAACCCAACTTTCCCAGGACTCCCTGAGTCATAAAAGATAGTATCTCTGTTGAAACTGATTCTTCACTGACTTGTTAGTTCCTATTACATAGAACAGACTTCGTTCCTATCCTTTGAAAGCCTAGTTTAATTTTTCTTCTCTGTGAATTATCCAATATTCTCATTTTGCTTAAGTGAGCCAAAGTTGAATTTCTGTTGCTTGTAACCAAAGAAACCCAACTGATAGAGGGAGAGTAGTCCAAGAGAGGGCACAGTAGAGACTCAAGAAGGCTTGTGAAGGTAGTCTGAAACCCAGATACTTTATTTAAAATTATTACAAACATTAATGTCAAAATTGCTGACAAAGGTACAATGACTAAGCAATTTCATGCTTCTATGTGCTGGTACTTAATTAGCATTTTCTAATAATTAGGCTAATGATGTTTTATTACTACAAACCATATTCAGAGTTCACTCTCATAGATCCCATATTAGAAATAAAAGCAAATGAAAATGAGTTGAATTAATAAGGCATCACATGCTACAGGAAAAAAATTGAGGAGAGGGTGCTGAGAGTAGCAAAGGGTCTATGTTATAAGGAAATACATGCACTTACTGAATTTTAGCTGTCTGATTCCTTAAATTTCAGTTATAAAACTCAGTTGTATCAGGCAAACCATACATGAAGATAATTTAAAGAACAAGATACCAAGTAGATACTAAAATGAAAAATACAGTAGAGCACCAAATAGAAATTCTCAACAAATGTCTCAAAAAATGCACAGAGCAAAAATGAGACAAACAACTGCTACAAACAGATCAGTCTAACAGCTAAGTGATTTGGAATGAAAATTTACTCTTTGGCTAATCTTTCCCTCCCTCACAGATGAGGCCCTGTGGCTCAGGGAGATAAAATGGTTTGTCTGAAGCTTGCAAGGGTAGATTTCAGAGACGCTTCAGATGAGGGAGCCTCTCTTTCCATGAGGAGATGGCAGAATGCTGAATTCCTGTTCAATCTGAAATTTAGCCATATAAGTTGTAGAAATAAGAGCAGGTTTTAAGCCTCCCTTAAAATATAAATATCATTCTGAGTCCTCTTCTAGGGTTATCCCATCACTTTCTGAAAATATTAGAAAAGATCAAGTTGTATCCAGGTAATAATCAGGATAAGACCATCTAATACATATCTTTAATAGCCAAAATTTTTTCAAACATGATACTTGAGCAGAACCAGGAAATTCTGGAAACCTAGTCTGCCACAGGTTACCTTACCCAAGGTTACTCAGCCTTGGCACTACTAATATTTTGGGAAGGGTAATTCTTTGTTGTGGGGGGGCGGCTGTCCAATGTAGGTTATTTAGCAGCATCCCTGGCCTCTACTCACTAAATGCCAATAACTGCCCTAGTCATGACATCACAAATGTCTCCCAACATTGCTAAATATCCCCTGAGGAGCCAAACTGCCCCCGGGTTGACAAACACTGATTTCAATATCATGACTACAACAAAACAAATATAACTGCCAGCTGCATGAATGCACTGCGGAGTTAACTGTGATCAGAGTTATATTTTAATTTTAATCCAAGTATAAATCACGGCTAGAACTAAGTTAGTGATGCTAGTTTTTGTCTAACAGGCCACATATGGCTAATGAACACCTGAAATATGGCTACTCGGAAGTAAGAAATGCAGTAAGTATAAAATATGTACTGTATTTTGAAGACTTGGTATAAAAAAGGATGTAAAATACCTCATTAATAATTTTTATATTAATTTAGCTATTTTGGGCATACTACTGGGTGAAAAATAATATCAAAATTATTTTGCCCTGCTCACTTTTACTTTGCTTAGTTACTAGAAAATTTTAAATAAAACATGTGACTTGTATTATAATTCTATTGGACGGCACTAGTCTACAAACTTGAAATGATTTAGTATTATTCTTTAAGGAAATAAATTAAGTCTAGTATGCCAAAAAAATTTTGGAAACCACAGCCCTATAAAATTAGTTCACCTTTGAGCATCATAACTCTTTATCATGCCTAAATGATTTTTCTGCTTCTTTAAACCAATTACTTCTATTCCAATGCTTTATTCTCAGAGTTTCAATCGGTTCTTTTCTGACTGCCGATTTATCTTCATGTTGTTCCTTATCATTCTCCTGTACATCTGTTTCTTTCATGCACTTGGGAATTTTCCTAGTGCTATGTTGAGATGTTGCAGCATCCATCATACTTAGAAAATCGTAAGCTGGAAGAGGAGGTTTCCATTCCTGAGCAGGTAAAATTGCTGGAAGGAAGAAACAATCAAAGGTTAAAGATTAACAGCTATAAAATTGTCACATCAACATACTAGAAAATGTTTTATTTTGAAAAACACATATGTAGAAGTGAAAGCTTTATTAGTTTTACTTATCTAAGCAAAGTTAGGAATTTTTTAATTGTCATCGTCAACAAGAAACTTGATACATTTGTCATTACTAGCCATTTTAATTTTTAGATTACATTTACAGACTATTATTTTCTTTCAAAAAGATAAGCGTGAATACGGGGAAAAAGGTCCAGAATCTCAATGCCAATTAACCTCTGTTGAAGTTCTGAAAAATAGCAATATGTGTAACAAGATCACAAACACATATGTAAAATGTTATATGTAAAACGTTAAATGAAAAAGTTGCTTGCTTCCCTCTTTACTGCCAAAGAAATGTAACTATTTCTTATAAATCATTCAAGAAAAAAAATCTGGAATATATGTAATTATTTATTATATAGTTATTTATACAAGTGTTTCCTTACATTTTAAAGCATTTTCTGTTGTTGAAGCTTTTGATTAACATCTTTTCCACACACTTTATGAAAACAAGTTCATTTTATAAAAATAATTATAGACAAGAAATAATTAAAAATTGCTGTGGAATCAACTGTACTCTATGCATAGTGATTAAATAATTTTTCTTAGATAAGCTTCATGACAATGAATCTTAACATTATTTTAAAATATTGGTTAGTAAAAGAGGAAAACTGATTAAAGCTGATAACATATACATGAGATAAATTAGCTAACTGTCTTCCATTTACTAGACAGTTTACAAAACAGTTTCAAAATTTAGTTGTCCCATTTAGGATACTATTTTAAAAAATAAACTATATAAGGAAATGTACAAAGTAAACCTTTTAAATATAAATTCCAATGAAAAATCTATGCACTGTTACACGCTAAAAAATAAATGCTCATAAGATACAAACTTGAGCATCTCTCATAAATTCAGTATCTTTAAGAACTTAGAAAAATCATATAAATTGCAATTTCCTAAAGCTCAAACAAAAATCTGTATATTATACATGCAGTACAGCTGTACTTTGCTTATTGATATATAATTTCTTCACTCATACTCAACTATATGAAATCTTGGTGTTGCCAGGTTAGCAGGTTCAAAAGTGACAAACAGATGATATATTTTCTTGAATATAATGAACAGGTGAGAAGAATAACTGTTTGTAGTTTGCAATATGCAGATAAATGTATATTAAAGTATCTGTAAGAGCCCAGTTTAGGCTGGGCATGGTGGCTCACATGTGTAATCCCACCACTTTGGGAAGCGAAGATGGGAGGATACCTTGACCCCAGGACTTCAAGACTAGCCTGGGCAACATAGTGGGAACCCTTCTCTACAAAAAATAAAAAAATAAAAAAAATTATCTGGGCATGGTGGCACGCGCCTGTAGTTCCGGCTACTCGAGAGGTTGAGGTGGAAGATTCACTTAAGCCCAGATGGTTGAGGCTGCAATGAGCCGTGTTTACACCATTGCACTCAAACCTGGATGAGAGTGTGTGACACTGTCTCAACAACAACAAAGAGTCCAGTTTAAAGTGTAGCATGTAGCAAATATTATATTTAAAAATATTTATTTTTAAGGTCAACACTGCAGCCTAATGGTCTGAGACTATGATAAAATGCCTGAAACATCCCAATTCTGCTACTTACTTGCTGAAGGTACTCTACAAAGATCTTAAGGTTTTCAACTGCAAATAAAACAGTAACAACATAGGGTAACAAATACATTATTCATGAAATCAGTATTGACGATAAATAATATTAATTAACATTTATTGAGCCTTTACTATACACATGCATTATTCATTTAATCTTTACAATTTTATAGATGAGAAGACCAAAGCATACAAAGATCAGGGAACTGGGCCAAAGTTAAATGTAAATCTCAAATAAGAATTGCCAGAAAGAGCAAGATGGCTGAATAGGAACAGCTCAAGCCTCCAGCTCTCAGCGCGAGCAACACAGAAGACGGGTGATTTCTGCATTTTCAACTGAGGTACCCGGTTCATCTCACTGGGGAGAGCAGGACAATTGGTGCTGGTCAGCTGGTGCAGCCTGACCAGCGAGAGCTGAAGCAGAGCGAGGCATCGCCTCACCTGGGAAGCGCAAGGGGGAAGGGAATCCCTTTTCCTGGCCAAGGGAAACTGAGACACACAACACATGGAAAATTGGGTAACTCCCACCCTACTACGGCGCTTTACCAAGGGTCTTAGCAAAAGGCATACCAGGTGATTATATCTCACACCTGGCCCGGAGGGTCCCACGCCCACAGAGCCTCCGTCATTGCTGGCAGAGCAGTCTGAGATCTAACTGCAAGGTGGCAGCGAGGCTGGGGGAGGGGCACCCGCCATTGCTGAGGCTTAAGTAGGTAAACAAAGCCTCTGGGAAGCTCAAACTGGGTGGAGTCCACCTCAGCTCAAGCAGGCCTGCCTGTCTCTGTAGACTCCACCTCTGCGTGGAGTCTGACAGCTGTCTGACAGCTTTGAAGAGAGCAATGGATCTCCCAGCACGAAGGTTGAGATCTGAGAACAGACAGACTGCCTGCTCAAGTGGATTCCTGACTCCTGAGTAGCCTAACTGGGAGACATCCCCTACTAGGTGCAGACCAACACCTCACACCTCACACGGCGGGGTACACCCCTGAGACGAAATTTCCAGAGCAAGAATCAGAGAGCAGCACTCGCTGTTCAGCAATATTCTATCTTCTGCAGCCTCTGCTGCTGATACCCAGGCAAACAGTGTCTAGAGTGGACCTCAAGCAATCTCCAACAGACCTACAGATGAGGGTCCTGACTGTTAGAAGGAAAACTAACAAAGCAGAAAGGACACCCACCCAAAACCCCATCAGTACGTCACCAGCATCAAAGACCAAAGGCAGATAAAACCACAAAGGATGGGGAAAAAGCAGGGCAGAAAAGCTGGAGAATTCAAAAATCAGAGCGCATCTCCCCCTCCAAAGGCACACATGCTCTCACCAGCAACGGATCGAAGCTTGACGGAGAATGACTTTGACGGAGTTGAGAGAGATGCTTCAGTTGATCAAACTTCTCAGAGCTAAAGAGGAACTACGCTACCCAGCGCAAAGAAACTAAAATCTTGAAAAAAGAATGGAAGAATGGATAACTAGAATAATCAATGCAGAGAAGGCCATAAACGAACTGCAAGACAGAGATGAAAACCATGCACAAGAAATACGTGACAAATGCACAAGCTTCAGTAACCGACTTGATCAACTGGAAGAAAAGTATCAATGATTGAAGATCAAATGAATAAAATGAAGCGAGAAGAGAAATCTAGAGGAAAAAAAGGAAAAAGAACGAATGAACAAGCCTCCAAACAAGTATGGGATTATGAAATGAAAAGACCAAATCTCACATTCTGATGATGTGCCTGAAAGTGAGGGGAAGAAAATAGAACCAAGTGACAAACCACTCTTCAGGACTATCATCCACAGGAGAACTATTCCCCAACTAGTAAAGGGCAGGCCAACATTCAAATTCCAGGAAATATAAAGAATGCCACAAAGGATACTCCTCGAGAAGAGCAACTGCAAGACACACAAATTGTCAGATTCGCCCAAAGGTTGAAATGAAGGAAAAAATGCTTAAAAGGGGCAGCCAGAGAGAAAGTCAGGTTTACCCACAAAGGGAAGCCCATCAGGGACTAACAGCAGATCTCTCGCCAGAAATCCGTCTTACAAGCCAGCGAAGAGGTGGGGGCCGAATATTCAATATTATTAAAGAAAAGAATTTTTCAACCGCAGAATTTGTCACTATCCATCCAAAGTTTGTCGATCAAGTGAAAGGAGGAAATAAAATCGGTTTACAGACAAGCAAATGCTTAGAGAATTTTGTCACCACCAGGGCCTGCCCTACAAGAGATCCTGAAAGGACGCGACTAAACTATGGAAGGAACAACTGGTTACCAGCCATTGGATAAAACATGCCACCCCCCTAAAGTGTAAAGACCATCAATGCTAGGGAAGGAAACTGCATAAAACTAACGAGCTAAAGACAACCAGCTAATTATCACAATGACCAGGATCAAGTTCACACACAAGCAATATTAACCTTAAATGTAAATGGACTACAACGGCTCTCAATTAAGAAAGACACCAGACTGGCAGAAACTGGATTAAAGAGTCAAGACGCCATCAGGTGGGTGCTGTATTCAGGGAACCCGATCTCACATGCAGAGACAGACATTAGGCTCAAATGATAAAGGGGATGGAGGCAAGATCTTACCAAGCAAATGTGGAAAACAAAAAAAAAAGCAGGGTGTTGAAATTAGTCCCACTGATAAAACAGACTTTAAACCAATCAAAGAGTCAAAAGAGACAAACAAGGCCACTACATAATGGGGTAAAGGGATCCAATTCAACAGTAGAAGAACTGACATGCCTAAATGATTATATGCCACCCAATCAGGAGCACCCACGGATTCATAAAGCAAGTCCTTAAGAGAAGCTACAAGACACTTAGACTCCCATACAATCGAATAATGGGAGGACTTCAAACACCCCGATTGGTCAACCATTAGACAGATCAAGGCGAGACAGAAAGTTAACAAGGGATATCCAGGAATTGAACTCAACTCTGGCATCAAGCGGACCCTAATAGGGACATCTACAGAACTCTCCACCCCAAATCAACAGGAATATACATTCTTCTCAGGCACCACATCACACTTATCCAAAATTTGACCACATAGTTTGGAAGTAAAGCACTCCTCAGCAAAATTGTACAAGAACAAAATTATAACAAACTGTCTCTTCAGACCAACAGTTGCAACAGAACTAGGAACTCAGGACAAGGAAAATCAATCAAAAACCATCACGCTACATGGAACTGAACCAACCTGCCTGGCTGAATGACTTTTTAAACCCGGCCCCTGGGTACATAACGAAATGAAGGGCAAAAAATAAAGAATGTTCTTTGAAACCAAGTGAGAACAA